CTATCTATCTATCTATCTATCTATCTATCTATCTATCTATCTATCATCTATTTGCAAATTACATGAAAACATAAGGGAAACTTGGGGTTCAGGGAGGAATAGAACCATCAAAAGGGGAGTGACAACAACAGGGAAATGAGTATGAGCAGGGTATAATCATATGCACATATGGAAATGCTGTAATGAAACCCATTATTTTGCATACTGACTGAAAAACTAATTTAAAAGAATACCGGCATTTTTACCTTTATTGTTTTCTGGAAAATATTGAATAGAAATACAATTTTATACAATTTTAGAGTCTTTCTTATAAAATGTCCTTGAATTTTAGCCTATTTATTTTTTATGTAACTAATTGTTCACTTTGGAGATAGAGTTTCACGCATCCCATCTTTTCTCTGCTCAGCCAAAGATGGTCTTAAACCTCTGATTCTTCTGAAGCCCCACCCGTGGGGTGCTGTGATTACATGTGCACTATCATGCCTAGCTTCATGTGATGCTGGGAATCAAACTCAAGGCTTCATGCATGTTAGGCAAGCATCCTACCAACTGAGCTACGTCCCCTGCCCTTTGTACATATATCCTTGACATCTTATAAGGTTAAAAAAAAGATAACCAAACTGCTGTCTTATGAATGAAGGATCAAATTGTAATTAATATGGTAATTTGTCACACTATTATTTTCTAACTGCATTTATTTTGCAAACTGAGAAATTCCTCCGTGTGGTTTTATGTGCTTTGAAATGTTGTCTGAGCCATTTCTCATTTCCAAGTGCAGGATCTGCTCAACGATGCGGACATGTGTAGGAAGAAGATGCAGGCGGCCTCCACGCTCATCGATGGGCTGAGTGGAGAAAAAGTCCGGTGGACCCAGCAAAGCAAAGAGTTCAGAGCACAGATTAATAGGTAGGTGTTTTAGTCCTTGTGGGTTCCCTTCTAAGTCGTCACTCCCATCCCACCTCTCTGTCACACTGAGATATAAAACCTACACCATCCACACTTCTCTGCATCCGCCAATGGCTGCAACCACATCTCTGAAGTAGAAAGCAAAGGTCCTTCCATGTAGCTCTGCAGTGTGAGTTCCTAGCTGGAGGCACATCTGGCGATGTTTGGGTTTGCCAAGACCGCCTGACACTTGTGTGGTTCCCTGGGCTTACCCTCAGTGATTTTGAACGTGTGCATTGGGCAGGAGAGAAGACTCAGTCAGTGAAGGGCTTGCCAGGCAAAGATGCTGAAAGCCAGTGTGTTGTGGTGCACCTCTGGAATCCTAGAACTAGGAGGGTGAAGAGACAAGCGGGTCCCTGGGACTCGTTGGTCACCCAGTGAACTCCAAGTCAAAGAGAAAAGAAACCCTGTCTCAAAAACAGCATGTGTAGGGGAGCGAGGAATGGTCCCTACGGAATGGCATCCGACATTGACCTCTGGAACATGTACACAAGCCTGCAACTTGCTCACATGGTTGTGTTCAGGTGTGCGTGTGCATGCACACACACACACACACACACACACACACACACACAAGAGTGCATAGGTTCCTGCACACACAAATATTTACATATATGCACAAAGACACACTGAGTGTTTGCCTAAGACAGGCTGTGAATAGGCTGTGCTATAAGAAGAAAGCACGCTCCTCACTGCAGGAAAAGAGTTCGTTTACATCCTCTGAGCCACCCAAATGTGACTCCTCCTACCCCTTTCTGTTTAGGGCTGTTTTTGGCATAGTCTTTCCCCGTCAGAGGCAAGGAAAGTCTGTGCCCTATGACACACTCTATGGCAAAGCAAGTCTGCACCGTAGCTCCTCCAGGGACTGACCCTGAGGACCGGGCCTCAGCAGCTGCATTGCTCTCTCCACAGACTCGTAGGTGATGTTCTGCTGTGCACGGGCTTCCTCTCCTACCTCGGCCCTTTCAACCAGATATTCAGGAACTATTTGCTTAAAGACCAGTGGGAGTTAGAGTTGAAAGCGCGGAAGATCCCTTTCACGGAAAACCTGAATCTCATCGCCATGTTGGTGGACCCTCCAACTGTAAGTTTGACCCTTCCCCACCACATTGGAATTCCAGCCCTGATTCAGTTCCCACCGCCAGCAAAAAGTCAAAGGTCTGCCTTATTTTCCTGCAATTGGAAGCTGCTTCCATAACTAAGATGGCTTAAATGACTTCCCATTACTTGAAATATTAATTTTTTATGTTCTTTTTCAAAGATTTGAGGCAAAGGCAGTTGCTGCCTACGTATTATAGTGTATTATGTATGTAAATATGATATATATTAGGCATTTTATATATATTGGTATCCTAGTGTATTATTTATATAAGTATGATATGTGTATTAGGGATTATATATATATATTATAGTATATTAGTGCCTTATTGAAGGGGCGTGGTCGATCGATAATTAACCAGGCCAACTCAATACAAAAAGATTTAGCTTTTAATAATTGGGGAAAACGGGAAAACTTACACGACCAGAGATCCCGCGAACACCAGGTGAGCAGGGAACCAAAGAGAGGAAGTGGCCAGGCACTTCGATCTTTTATTTGTTTTGTGTGGCCCCAGGGGGACACACCTTAAACAGAATGTGATTGGCTGAGATTCCCCATCACCTTATTGCTGTTACAGAGTAAACTAAGAAAAACCAAACAAGGAAGGGAGGCTTCATTTCGACTTAGAGTCTGAGGGCACAGTCCATCAGGAGTGAGCGAGCCATGGAGGTGGGGTTGTGAGGTACCTGGTCCCTTTGCATCCACAGTCAGGAAGCAGAGAGTGGAGAGGGGTACTAGTGCAAAGCTCACTTTCTCCTTTTCATTCAGTGGGGGACCCCAGCCATTAGATGGGTGGTGCAACTTGAATTCCAAGTGGGTCCTCCCTCCTCAGAGGCCTTCCCAGGCGGCCCAGAAGTGTGCCTACCAGCCCACTCACACTGTCACTCAGGATTAGCTGTCACGAATGGCTGACTCCCTGGCATGCCCTGGTACTGATGACGAGTGCCAGGCCTGACTGGCTGGGATTTTGGTGCCCATGTCAGTTTTCAACACAACTTGCCAGGTTCCTGTGTTCAGATTGACTTGTGTTTCAGCTTTGCAAACAGGCACCAGCTGCTGCTTCCTTGGAGAGACAGCGCTTTGAGTTCCCCATGTTCTGTAGTTAAAGGCTGAAAAGTAGACTTTAACTCAAACAATGTTAGATTTGTCCTTATAGGGAGTAGATTGTGTACAGGAGACACCGGGCCCTGGAAGACAAGGTGGATCCAGGTAGTCCTCATGAATCTGGGTCTTTGGAGGGTATAGGGGTAATTTAGCAAAAGTAGACTCTGCTTGGCTCACTGGATCTCCAGAGATTTCATTGACTGTGATGCTGTCCCATTTAAATTTGGGGAAGGACATAGTCATACTTACTATTGCTGAGCTCCTACCAGCTTATCTCGGCCAATGTCTCTCCAGCTGCGTAGTTACCTTTCATAAGCCTTGTAGGCAGAACCAAAGGCCAGGATGCTCTGGGGGCTGGGGAATATAATATCTTCTTCTCTGATAGTGGCTTCCTTTCACAATCTCTGCAAGTATAAAAAATATATATAGCCTAAGAGGACAAACAGATCAAGAATGGAGACTCAAGTTTGGTTCTCAGAAGTCATGTTGGGTGGCTCACAGCCTTTGTAACTCCAGATCCAGGGGGAATAAGCTCCCTCTTCCGGCCTCTGAAAACAGTGCACTTACATGTACAAAGCTACTCCCTACACATCCACATATACAAAATAAAAATAAAAAAGATAAATATTTAAATTTGCGTTCTAAACTTGACATCACTCGGCTCACATTTGCAGGTTGGTTTGCTCCCCCACCCTCACCCCAGACATCAGTTGAATTATTTCCATTTTCCATTCTAAGCGCTCAACTGCTAATGAACACACTCTGGGTCTTTGAATGGGCACTTGCCCATTTCCCCTTCAGATTGGCGAGTGGGGCCTGCAGGGATTACCTGGCGATGACTTGTCGATTCAGAATGGCATCATCGTGACAAAGGCCACCAGATACCCCCTCCTCATCGATCCCCAGACCCAGGGGAAGACGTGGATTAAATCGAAGGAAAAAGAAAACGACTTGCAGGTGCGTCTCATTCAGCGTGTGTAGAAATCATCACGTTTTCTCGGCGTGTCAGCAGACGCTCATGACGTCATCCGTGCTAGTCGGCTTGCAGTTCTGACTGTCGCCAATGCTTGAGATGAACCAGGTTATAAAGGAAAAGGGTTTGTTGGGACTTACAGTTTGGGAGAGTTTGGTCCGTTATCGGTTGGTTCAATGGCTTTGGGATGAGGCGGCCGTCATGGCGGCGGTGTGTGGCGGTAAGACTCACCACGGCCGGAATGCAGAAGAGAAGAGAGAGAAAGGGGCTGTGGTGCGTCGGTTGCTTTAAAGGCGTGGCCTGGAGCTGTGAACTCATTCTTCTGTGTGCTGCGTCTGCCAGTGGCTCCAAGACAAAAACCAAGTCTTTAACCCATGGCCCTTTGAGAACGTTCCAGACGTAAACTGTAATGTCACGTTTCTTGCCAGCGTTTGCTCATTTGTACACGTGTGTAGCAGCATTTGGGGCAACAACTCTGATGACATTGTTTCTTTCGCATTCTTTCTGTTTATTTGTTCGTTTATTTTTAGAATTCTTGGATCCCATGCTGGCCTAGATCTTACTGTGTGAACAGGGATGACTTTGAACTTTTGATCCTCCTGCCTCTACCTCCCTAGTCTCTTTCCGTTCTTGATCCCGCTCTCCCGATTCCTCTTCACTTCCCTGGCACGGTTACTCTGGTCAGTGGAGAATATGGCTTTTGTTTTGGACTTGGAGTTTGGACTAATAGGAAAGCAGCAGCAGTAGTGCCCCCTCAGCTGCCAGCCTCACCCAGGTACTTGGCACCATTCGGGGCACCCAGGTCCAGCATTGCCTGTAGAGCCTATTCTGGTGTTAATTTTAAGCCTGGGTTAAATAAGGCCAGGATTATGACATTTCTGACTCCTTTGAGTCATGTTGCTACTGGTCAGCTCGCAATATGGGCTATTCAGTGTTTCCTGGATCCTGTTCCCAGAATTCCTCATGCCCCATGCATTTTTAAAACTTATTCTCTCTCTCTCTCTCTCTCTCTCTCTCTCTCTCTGTGTGTGTGTGTGTGTGTGTGTGTGTGTGTGTGCGCGCGCGCGCGTGTTCTGCAGTGTACATAGGGAGGACAGAAGACAATATGCAAGAGTCATTTCTCTCCCTCCATCATGTGGGTGCCAGGGATAGAATTCGGGTCATCAGGCTTGGCAGTAGCCTGAGCCATCTCCCTGGCCTTTCCATTTTTTTGAGATGGGGTCCTGACTTGTCGTGATTTTGCTTATATTTCTTTTGCTAATCAGAATATCTTTTCACAGTGATGACCTTAGACCAAAGTCTTTATCAGTATTCCTTCAAAACCTCTATCTAATGCTTGCTCCGTCAGGACTTCTCTGTGTCCCCAGCTTCATATAGCCCACCCCAAGACCTGTCTGTGTTGATCTGTAGTTCTGTTCTGGACTCCGAGTCTGACTACTTGAATTATTGCTTTTTGCACATTTCTCTCTGCTGAGCCATAAACTTCCTGCTTGTCATGTTTATGGTTTGCTCCATGTTTATGTTTTCGGCACAGCTCTTACATAGTGTAGCAATTCCAGTATTTATTGAATTTAAATGAATTCATCAAAGTGGGCCATTACTACTGGGGATATCATATGACCATCTTGATAAATGTGGGGAGAGCACCCATTCATGATCAAGCTGCCAGCAAACTAAGAAGAGGGGGGAATCCCCTCTAACCCTATAAAGAGTTTTTACGAGAAGCCTACAACAAAGATGATAGTTAATGTTGAGATACAGATTTTGGGTAGATCCTTGCTTCTCAGTGTATCAATGCATTCTGACATCATCCTTGAAGACTTATTTCAGCTTTGCGGTGTGTGCACCTGCGTGTCTGCACATGAATCTATGCGTGTGAGTGAAGTACCAGTAGGGGCCGAAAGGACCTCGGATCCCTGGAGCCGGAGCTGGAAGTGGCTGTGAGCTGTCCAGTGTGTATGCTGGGCACTGCACTCAGGTCCTCTGGAAGAGCAGCAAGCTCCCCGAACCCCCTGCAACATCTCTCCAGCCGCTTGACATTCTTATATTTATTTACTTGTCAATCATGCATTTCAGAGAGCCCAGAGGAGATAAATACATATCAAAAATACTCACAGCACCTTGCCACTTGTGGGCGATTCTCTAGTTGCTTAAGTTTTAATAAGATGAGTGCGTGGCATTTAATAAGATGAGCTCTGTCATTCCATCTGAGCGTGCACCCTCTCTTCTGGACTGGAGACGCTGTTTCAACAGTCAGCACTCTCCAGGTTCTGGGAATGAACTCTGGCTTGTTACTTTTATTTATTTAATCCTTTGACATTGCCCTTTCAATTCCCAGTCAGCCATCCAACAGATAGCTTGCTTTCCACTTAGCACCCGGAACGCTGCTGGGGATGTTTTAGACTAAGGGGCTCTTTATCTTCAGGTGACGTCTCTGAACCATAAATATTTCCGCACACACTTGGAGGACAGCCTCTCCTTGGGTCGCCCCCTTCTCATTGAGGACATTCGAGAGGAGTTGGATCCCGCTCTGGATAATGTACTCGAAAAGAACTTCATTAAATCGGGCACCGCTTTCAAGGTGAGTGTTTGGTAAAGGAGAAAGAACCCTGGTGGCCTCCACCTGGCCTCAGCTCAGTGGTCGAGCCGTCTCCTTGGGGTGGTGATGTTTTGTACACTGGAAACCAGCATTTTCAGATGGGCTGTTTCCTCTAGGTGACTGTTTCTAGACACCAACAGCTTATTTCTTGCCTTTTTCCTTCCAAAGTGGTAGCTATTGCTTTTATTTTTAAAACATATTTTATTTTAATTATGTGTATATTTGTGTGTGGGGTGTGTGCAGGTGCCCTCAGAGGCCAGAAGAGGGCATCAGATCCCCTGGAATAGGCAGTAAGGGTGCCGGTGAGCAGCTAACATGTGGATGCTGGGAACTGAACTTGAGTCCTCTGTCAGAGCAATATTGTTCTTAACCATTGAGCCATCGCTCCAGCTCCAACTTTACTCTGCTTTGAGTTGATTTAATTCTTAATTTAAAAATAATCACACATATTTATAGGGTGCAATGTAGTATACTTGACAAAATTACTGAAAGAGTTCTTCAAATTTTACCCTTTAATGGTTACATACGAATGAAACGTGCTTATTGGTGGGCGCCATGCAACTCTGATTGCTTTCATTGTTTTTATAATATATATATATATATATAAAAGCCCCAGAAGAGCAGTATCCTTGCAAGAGTATTCAGTTGGTAGAAATGAAGTAACACATTAAGGAAACAGGTTTCTTATCTTAATAACAATATAATAGCGTTACATGGAAATGACATATATATTATATTAGCTGTATATTAGAAAAGTGGTTTTGCAAGCCAAATACATATACAAATTCAAGAAAACCTGGATCTCCTCACTGAAGAAAACAGCATGTTAATAAAGTCTGTAGACATTGATTTGTTCGTTTCTGTCTTTACTAACTTTCAGTCTAAACTCATTGACTTTGCTAGTGTTCCCAACTGCTGATGCCAACACAAATTGTTTTCAATATAAGTGTCTCTTTTTTTAATTGGTCCCATTCTCTACTTTGAAGGTTCATTGGTTTTATTTCTTGATAAATGACAGCATTTAGATTTGATTATTTCACTTCCAGTGTGTTAAATTCCCTGACTACTAGGGAAGATGTGAGGAACGCGGGTTTTCTTCTTAAACACAGATTTACCTAGTTCTCTTTACAGCGTGAATTCTCTGCCCCCCCCTTTTACATGTGCGTGCGTGTATGCGTATGTGTGTAGAATAAGTCATTCTCCAGCAGCCGTCCGCCGTAGTCACTGAGGCAGGTCTCCCAGAGTTCACCGACATGACTAGCCTCCCTAGCTGGCTTGCTCTGGGGTCTCCTGTCTTTGCTTTCAGAGACTGGAATTACAATTACAGGTCGGTTGCCAGGTTCACCCAGCAATTTTCATGTGATCTGGGAATCCAGACTTCAGTCACTATGCTTTTGTGACAAGCAATTAACTCCTGAACCATCTCCCCAGCCCCTCACTTTCAACAAATGCATATGGAGCGTTGATTATCTACTGAAGCCTGAAAGAGTGAATTTAATTTAATGAGTAAAACTGAGTCAACGTCCTCAAGAATTCTTTTTGTTTTCCCGTGAGGTTACAAAGTGGAAATTTTCTTTGCAAAGAAAAGGGAACCAAGAATAAAATCTTGGTGACTTCTTTGGCTGTTGTGGGTTCATCCACAATTTGGAATCATTCTTGGAAGTGTTTGGTTGGTGGGAGCTGGAAGGAGGCTCAGCTCTTCAGAGACCGTGCTGCTTTTCCAGGATGGGTTCAGTTCCCAGCATCCACAGGGCAGCTCACAGCTGCCTGTAATTCCAGTTCCAGGGAAGCTCATGTCCTCTTCTGACCTCTGTGGCAACCAGGCACGCATGTGGTAAAGATATAATACATGCAGGCAAAACACTCATACACATACACACAAAATTTTAAAAACTCATTCAATTGACAAATAGAGATTCTATATATTCAAAGGGTACCATGTGGTGTCTTGTTATTCATGTATATTATATAATATACAGTCGAATATATGGACACCCCATTGGTGCCCATCTGTGCAATAGACGTCTGGAATATGTCAGACTAGGAATGGAAGTTTGTGCTCTTTGGCCAGCCCTCCCCCACACCCAGGCCACCCCTTACCCTCATCTTCCCTACACCAAATATCCTGTGTTGGATTCTCAGCTTCTAGGAGCTCCACCCTTTTAGATTCCATGTGTAAGGATAAAATCATGTATAGTGTTTATCCTTCTGAGCCTGGCTTGTTTTATAAGAGAGGTTACAGAGCCGCCATTACTGAGGTTGCTTACAGGACCTTGGATTCTCGTCCTCAGATTGGGGATGTGTCAGAGGTTATAGCAAGGTTCCCATCCCATGTCCAATCAAGACTCATTAGAAATTTAAGTCATTTTAAAATGTTATGGTTTCTACCTGGTTTTTAAAAAGTAAAAATGTCACACACACACACACACACACACACACACACACACACACACACACACACACAGGTAGGTGGATCTCTGTGAGTTCAAGGCCAGCCTGGTCTATAAGAGCTAGTTCTAGGACAGCTAGAGCTGTTACACAGAGAAACCCTGTCTCTAAAAACTACAAAAAAGTAAAAATGTTGTTTTTTTTAATATACTACAAATAGTAGTGTTTAAGGTTAATATTATGTTTCTAGGGTTTTTTTCTGAAAATTATATCGACTCTGTTGTCAAATATGTTGGAGGTACGGCTGTGGAATGCAGCAAAGAAGTGATAGTTCCTAAAAACAGTTCTGCAGTCGGATATAATTTCACCGTCTGGGGAAAATAATAAGATTGATGGGAGTTGATAAATGCTGGAATTTAAAGTCAGGTCTTGGACGTGTCCAGGTTTTCCTTTATTCCTTGTTGGTGTTAGATCAGCTTTCATTAGATTTGCTTTGGATGGCGGCTCAGAACATCTCCAGGCAGAAGGACAAATCTGAGTTACTCTAAGTTGGACAGGCTTTGTTATTTAAGATCTGTGATTAAAATTTTCCAACTCTCCTTCCCAGTTCATTCACATGTCAACAGCCTTGACTCCTGGGGAACCCATTCCTATCTCAAACTCCCAGTGCCCCCACCCCTGCATCTTTTGAACTGTTTTCTTTCTTTCGGGTTATACAACATTTGTATCCTTTTGAAAATTTAGATTAAAATTTTGTTTTAGAATTTCATATGTATTTACACCATTTTCTATCCCTCCCTCTCACTGTTCCAGCACCTTCTGTATCCTCCTACATACTCCGAAATCCATGACCTCTTCTACAGTTATTCTTGTCACACACACACACACACACACACACACACACACACACACACACGTACACACCCTACTGAGGCCATTTAGTGTTGCTCATTTGTATATATTCTTAGGGTTGACCACTGGGATTGCATGAGCTGTCAGGACCTCGCCTCTCCCTCTCTCAGAAGCCATTGATTGCCTGTAGCTTTTCTTCTAGAGTCGGGGCTGTATGGGGTTTCTCCCATCCACGTTGGTCTATCCACTGGTATCATCACGTAGGTCTTGTTTAGGCAACTTGAAGCTGTTTTTAATTTCACATTTGAACTTGTGTAGGTGAAAGTCGGTGACAAGGAATGCGACATCATGGATACATTTAAACTTTACATCACCACAAAGTTGCCGAACCCTGCCTTTACCCCTGAGATCAACGCCAAGACGTCGGTCATCGACTTCACTGTTACCATGAAGGGACTGGAGAACCAGTTACTCAGGAGGGTCATTCTGACAGAGAAACAGGTAAGCACTCTCAATGTAAAAGCTCTAGCTCACGATAAGTGTTTAAAATTGGTTAGGAGGATTAGTGAGATGGCTCAGCAGGCAAGGTATAAGCAGAGACTGTTGGTTCATTTCGTGGTCACCCAGACCCGAATAATAACACAGAAACTATATTAGTTACAACACTGTTTGGCCAATAGCATAGGCATATTTTTTTTTAGCTAACTCTTACATCTTAGATTAACCCATAATTTTTGTCTGTGTTAGCCATGTGACTCGGTACCTTTCATTAGCGAGGCATTCTCATCTTGCTTCCTCTGCATCTGAATGATGACTGCAGACTGAGCCTTTCCTCTTCCCAGAATTTTCCTACTCTGGTCTCCCCACTGATACTTCCTGCCTGGCTACTGGCCACCAGCCCTCAAAGCCATGGCTTTAATCCTAGCCACATTACTTAGCAAATTAAAGACTCATGTGGTCAGAAAAAGAGAGTTATACAGTAAAGATAGATTCAGATGGAAAAAACTCTAAACAGTTTATAATGTGTTTAAAAATATATATAGTCTTGAGAGAGAAAAGAAAAAGGATAAAGTTCTTTTTTTTTTTAAAAAAAAAAAAGAAAGAGTAGTTTGTTGGGGGTAGGGCTGCTTGTTCATCCTGCTTCCTAGTTCCTGGCTATCCTGCTGGCTTAGCCCCAAAATAACCACACAGAAACTGTATTCATTAAATCACTGCTTGTCCCATTAGCTCCAACTTCTTATTGGCTAACTCTTACATATTAATTTAACCCATTTCTATTAATCTGTATATCTCCTCGTGGCGGTGGCTTACCGGCAAAAATTCAGCATGTCTGACTCTGGCAGCTCCATGGCGGCTCTCTGACTCTGCCCTTCTTCCTCCTAGCATTCAGTCCAGTCCTCTACGCCTACCTAAGTTCTGCCCTATCAACAGGCCAGAGCAGTTTCTTTATTCATTAACCAATGAAAGCTGCATATAGACAGAAAGACCTCCCACAGTAGTTGGGTGTGGTGGCACACACCTTTAATCCCCAGCACTTGGGAGGCAGAGGTTAGAGGATCTCTGTGAGTTCAAGGACAGCCTTGTCTACAGAGTGAGTTCCAGGAGAGCCAAAAATACACAGAGAAGCCCTGTCTCAAAAAAAAAAAAATTAAAAATAAAAAATTAAATAGACTTTAAAATAAAGCCTCATAAAGATGGAAAATAAACAGAGAATCTGGATGCTGTATGTTATTGTCTTGTCTTTGAATGGTTTGTTGTCTGATACTCTTTGTTTAGAGTATTGGTTACAAGTTGCTATGGATAATGGTCAGAAAAAAAGCTAAACAAAGGAGATTAGATTCAGAGTTCTTGTTTTGAAAAGAAAAATTATATGTCTCAGTTATCCTCCATCCCCAGACAATACACACACACACACACACACACACACACACACACACACACACACACTTTCTGCTTCTGCTCTTATATCTTTGGGTGTATTGATTTCTGCACATTTCAATCCATAGTGCTGTGTATTGTCTTGAGACACCTGAAAAATTTAATAAAAACAATGATCCCAGAGAAAAGAAAATTCCCCTGGATAGCCAATATAGGTACCCTATAAAGATTTGTCACTTGTATTGGTTTAATAAAACACTTAATGGCCGGTAGCCGGGCAGGAAGCATAGACAAGGTGACCAGAATGGGAGAATTCTGGGAAGAGGAAAGACTCAGTCTGTAGTCACCACCCAGATGCAGAGAAAGCAAGATGATAATGCTTCACTGATAAAAAGTACCAAGCCACGTGGCGAACACAGACAAGAATTATGGGTTAATTTAAGATGTAAGAATTAGCTAAAATATGCCTTATCTATTGGCCAAACAGTGTTGTAATTAGTATAGTTTCTGTGTTATTATTCGGGTCTAGGTGGCCGGGAAATGAACAAACAGTCTCTGCTTACCTAAAGGTGCTTGCCACCAAGCCTGAAGACCTTGATCCCTAGTACCCACATGGTGGACAGAGGGAATCAACTCTTAGGTTGCTGAATGCCCCCCCATAAACAAACAATAACCAAACAAATATAAATAATAAAGTAGATTAAGATGTTGTTATAACAAATATATGAAAAATATAAGCCAGTCATATTTTCTCTTGTTAGCATAAGGAAATATTTCTTTCTCAGTGGCAATTTCTGTTAGAAAATTATATGACTCAGTTATCCTCCATCCCCAGACAATACACACACACACACACACACACACACACACACACACACACACTTCCTGCTTCTGCTCTTATATCTTTGGGTGTATTGATTTCTGCACATTTCAATCCATAGTGCTGTGTATTGTCTTGAGACACTTGAAAAATTTAATAAAAACAATGATCCCAGAGAAAGGAAAACTCCCCTGGATGGCCATTACCCACTGCTGGGGTTTCAGATATTGCAGTGCAATAACGTAATGATATAAGGAACAATATTTCAAATGAAATTTGCATTGGAGGGGGGAATCAATTAGGTATAACTAAGGGTATTGGTGGAGCAAGGAGCACCTTAGGCCTGTAATATTTTAAGGGCTAGGTATCTTTTAAGATGTTCAGAAAACCCAATTTTATGCATAAATATATTTGCATATATTAACTCTATTTGCATAAAGCACAAGATAGTTTACACTTACTTTGATATAATTCATTTTAGTATTCAAGGAAAAGGCAAGGTGAGCGATAATAAGAGCAAAGAGGCATAAAGTGGGGGGGGGAGGTGAGGAAGAGAGGAAGAGAGTGACGGGTGAAGAGAGGGAAGGGAAGGTGTGTGGTGGAGGGCTGTGGGATGAGGAGAGATAGATGCCCCAGCAGGTAAAGAGATGTGACACCATCTGTCCTTCAGGAGCAACGGCATCCTACTTGCTTACCAGAAGTGGTTTCCTGCAAGGGGCAGACCATTAAAACCCTAGCCTTCCAGCTGGCTCCCTCTACCACCTCTCGGTGGTCAGCACACCAGGTGCTGCTGGTCTATTCTGAATGGATTCTCATTGGTGTAGCTCCCCCATGAGGCTGTATTACCTAAAGGTCTCTCCAGTGCCCAAATCCCTCTTCTTATTGCCGATGCCTCTTTAAAACACCCACTGGCATGCTTGGGCCAGCCTTGCTGGAGAGCATTGAAGACAAGCTTTGTAAGCAGTGTCTCCTCCTGACAGCCCTGGGGCCACAGAGGATGAGGGTCTGTCCCCTTCTGTGACGACATTTCCCAAGGCCTCCTGGAAGCCCCTCAGGTCTACAGTATCATGATACCTGCCTTTCTCTATAGTAAGCACTTCACCAACTCAGCCACCTCTCCATCCCCAGGGGTGGTTATTTCAGTGGAACAGTTCTTTAGCTAGTCTCCTGCAAGCGTAGCCACACTCGTCACCATTCTAACGCAACCCACAGCCTGCCAGTGGGATGGCAGGGGACACTAGTCAGGGTTCGAGGACAGGGTGAGGTCCACCTCTGCAGCGACTACTGTGGGTGGCACTGGGATGCTCTGCAGGGGTTCCACCTTCCCCAGGTAGACAATAAGCAATGGGAACAAAAGTCAGCACGTTGTTGGGGGAGGCCTCCACTCTGCCAAGCCTCAAAGTGGGTGCTCTCCAGAATTTACAGCTCCTGCCTGTTAGATGCCAAATTCTGGATGAAAATAACCTATAGGCAGACTGATTGAAGTCATGAAAGGCGTTTGACTCAGTGCCGGTCTGTAGCTTTTGATCATCTATTTGCTTTCAGAAGACTTCTGAAGTTAGTGGGGTTTCTGAAGCAGCTTTGCAAGGAATGTTCTCAGGTTAGCGCTTTGATTTACCTTGAAATATAATCCTAAATGCAAAATGTGATTCTGCATATAGATGAGGAAACACTGCTGCCTGACTGTCACAGAGGGCTAGGATGTGGCTTAGTCGGCAGAGGACTGGCTCGGCACGCACAAAGCCCTCAGTTCCAATGCACAAACAGCGTGTGCGAGCCCAAGCCTGTAATCCAGCACTAGGGAGGCGGGAACTGGGGAGTAAAAAGTTCAAGGTCACCCTCAGCTTGCTCCTTGGTGAGTTTAAGGCCATCCTAGGCTACATAAGACCCTGTCTCAAGAACAAAACAACACACACACACACACAAATATTGTTAAAATTATTTTCATTTAGACTCTATCAATGTCAGATTCCTGGGCTGTGGGGCCAGGGAGGCGGCTCTGGGGTTAAAGTACTTGAAGAGTTCAGATCCCCAGAAATGCAGGATGGGTATGGCTGCCCGCCTGCTGGGTAGCAGCAGAACTAGCCATATCTGTGCTCTCTGGTAGCAGAACTAGCCATA